GGCGTCATCGTCCCCAGGTCTGTGGTGAGGCAGAAACAGCACAGTAGGGAGCATGGGGAAAACAGAACTTCCCTTACGGCCTCCAGGGACAGTACGTACCCTGCAAGGGAGTGGCCCAGATGACCTACTTCCTCCCTCTCTCCTCCACTCCTTAAAAGTCTCACCCACTACCCCCACTCCAGAAGAGAACTGATCTCCACGTGAGACCGTAGCTTTCATGGTTAAGTCACCCTGCAAGGGCCCCACCTCTGAGCTGCTGCCCTGGGACCAAGTCTTCAATACAGGAACTTCAGGCTCTGAGTGGCGGCGAGGGGGCCATTTAAGGCTGCACCATGGCCATGCCTGACGACTCGGCCTCTGGGAATCTATGTGATTGTCCTTTCCCCAGCAGTTGCCCTTTGGCCTGAGAGCCCAAGCTGCCTTCTTAGGGTGGCTGACACCCTTGAGGTCAGAGCCAGACCGTTACCAGGGTGACCATCTTTAGTTCTCACTGAGGCGGGCAGAACAGTGTGTCCTTTGCCATTTGTGCCTTCTGCAGAAGTGTGAGAAGCTGGTCCTGTCTCTGTGCTGCAACAGCCTCAGTCTGCCCTTCCACGAACCAGTCAGCCCTCTGGTAAGGAGGCCCCATGCGTCTGCCTGCTGCGCTCCTTCCTGACCTGGGGGTCACGGCCACTCCTGCTTACTGCTCTCCCTCGCACCTGCTGACATCAGACTTGAGCAAGCCTCTTCCTCCATCCCTACTTTAATACCTCCTCCTACTCCTCCTCCTCCATCTCCCCCTCCCCTTCTCTCCCTCCCCAAGGCCAGGCATTATTACCAGATTATCAAGAGGCCCATGGACCTATCGATTATCCGGAGGAGGCTGCAAAAGAAGGACCCAGCTCACTATACCACTCCAGAGGAAGTAGTATCCGACGTGCGCCTCATGTTCTGGAACTGTGCTAAGTTCAATTATGTATGTCAGTCTTGTTTTCTGTTTTGCAGTGACCCTGAGATGGTCATGGCTGGGGGTGGATGTGGGCAAGGGCATCTGGAGCAGAGAGAGTTCTGGGATTTGCTCTGGTTTAAAAGCCCTCTCCCAAATGTGGGCCCTAAGCTTGAACTCGGAAGGATGGGAGGAGGTGGTGACTGGCCAACTGTGGGTATCTACTGAGATTACTTCTACTTTATGAACTGCTACCAAATGGGTTACTTTGGGCCCCAGGAGAACGTGCCATGCTCCAGGTCTCTCAGGATGAAAGTCTAAGATGGGCCAGTCAGGCTTGTGTTCCCTGTGTCCCTTTTGATGGAGGGGCGTAGAGGAGATGTCCTGGTAGAAACAGGCTGAGCCACTACTGTCTCCCCTCATCAGCCCGACTCGGAGGTTGCGGAGGCTGGTCGCTGTCTGGAAGTATTCTTTGAGGGCTGGCTAAAGGAGATCTACCCAGACAAATGCTTTGCCCAGTCCCAGCAAGAGGACTCAGACTCTGAGGACGTATCCGGCGAGAGTGGCTGTTCCACCCCACAGGGCTTCCCGTGGCCTCCCTACATGCAGGAAGGCATCCAGCCCAAGAGGCGGCGGCGGCACATGGTAAAGAGCAGCTGCCAGCCAGTGGGCAAGGTGGGTGGCACTGGCAAGGGGCACCCGAGCAGCCAGCGCCGAGTAATAGATGCAGTCATGCCGATGAAACTTCACTCTCAACCCCTAAGCGTATGAGAAAAGTAGGGTGGCGTGGAGACCAGCAGCCCCAGGTATTAGTGAAGCCTGACGTTAGGAGGGCCGTGTGCCTGCCAGGAGTCCTCTAGCAAGTTCACAGCTCTAGGGTGAAGGTGTCCTGATCCCCCAGCTCAGAACTGTTATACTATGACTACAATGCCCATAGAAAGAGAGCCACCTGATACCAGTGCCTGAGTCCTGCCTGGGCCAGAGGGAGGAAAGAAGGGACCCTTTAAACTCCTGGATAGGAAGGAAACAGCGGGCTGGCTTACAACAGACACTTCTAGGACCTTCTGGCTCTTTCGTCTGTGTAGACCTGAAAGATCAGTCTCCCTCCTTCCTTCCCTCCCTTCTGTCCCTCCCCTCATGTCCCCTTCTTCCTTCCCTCTTCCTTCCTTCAGTCTCTCTTTCCATCTTTCCTTTTTGAAATAGGGTCTTACTCTGTAGCCAAGGCTGGATTGGAACTAATTCTAGAAACCAGTCGGGCCCTAAGCTTGTGACAGTCCCCCTACCTCTTCCTCCCAAGTGCTAGGATTACCTGTGTGTGACACTGCTTGCAGCCATTCTGTTAACTCCCCTGAAATGGGCTGCTGGCCTCCTGTGCCAAGGTCTGCCAGAACCCCCTGGTTATCTGCAACACTTGGTACATGGTACATAGGGCCCTTGGTGAGCTCTGCTGTTGCCTTTCCAGGGTAGAATACATCGGCTCTGGGGGAACCCCAGTCCTGACCCTGGTCCCCTTCAGTTTAATAAATCCAAATTTGAGTATTCCAATTTTTCTTTTCTCTCAGGAGAATGAAAAGACAAAGAAAATGTCGTTTCGTCTGGCCAACAGCATCTCGCAGGTGTGAGAGCCGGAAGGAGGCGGGCACACAGGTGGCCGACGTCCCACCTTCTCGCCCATCCCTCCCCACCCTTCAGCTTTTCCTCTCCAGAGTGTGGCTGTGAGATGAGCCTTGTTGAGCGGGTCATGCTCCCTTCACCATTTGCATCTCTAGCATTTATCCGGGAGCCATAGTGCATCCCCCATAAAGCAATTTCAGGAGAACAGGGAAGAGGGAGGCATTCCTCATTCCATGCCTCTCGCGGCTCAGGAGGACCTGGCCGACTCCGCTCACCTCTCAGCAGCCAGGGCTCAGGAGCACCGCACTGTGTGTGTCTGAACTCCTGGTTTAGAAGCGGGTACACGAAAGGAGGCGAGGTTTGGATGTATGGCAGGTGTGTGACCCCTGTCCCAGCACAGCCAAAGACTGTCACTGTTTGCCTTTGCGTCCTGTTGGGACAGAGGCATCTGCCTCCGGCAGAATAGTGGAGGCTTCTCGAGGCCTCAATTGGTGCCTAATTGGGTTCTAACGGTTTTCAGGGTATTTGCTTCCCATGCCCCCTTTCCCCAGTAGGAGTTAGGTGGTCACTGTGAAGTGCTATGTGTGGCTGGCACTCTCGCCTGAGTTAGGTGGCTGTGCAGAGACCGGATTTCACTCACATTCAGACGGTGCCAGCTTCAGAGTCTGTCCCTCTGTGTCCTGACTCTGGGCTAGTAGCACCTGAGAAGCTACCTTCTCAGAAGTGGCCACTGTGTATGTCAGCGGTTCTTCCTCGATAGCCTCTGTCCTACATCTGCATCTTGGGTTTTACCTGGGAGAAGTGAGGTGGCATCGGCTGCTGGTACAGGTTCCCTAGCCAGAACAGCCTGCAGCTAGTGTGCTGTGCGGGGCCTCTTCTCCTGCCCAAGTTCTGCTTCTCTACTTTCTCGCACAACCAAAGATCAGAACTGTGGCCTCGCTGCTCGCAGCCCAGAAGCAGCCAACACACGGTCACCCTTTCTTGTCGGAGCCTGGAGAAGACCGTGGTGACAGATGGGACTCTTTTCTGGGCTAAGGGCAGAGAAGGAGGATATTGAGAGGTGAGAAACCAGGATCCTTTCATGACCCTAGGTAACTCTAGAGTCGCAGTTTTCACAGAATGCAGGAAGGCGTTCTGGAAGCCCTGGGAATAGAGCTGTGTACTGTAGATCCTCTGTAGATGGATCTCCACGGTGAAGGCAGGGTGTCTGAGAAGAAGCACCTGAGAAATCTACAGGGCCAGGCTTCTGCCTAGACAAGGGCTTGGCTGAGGAAGGACCTGTTGATTATATTGCTGGTGGAGATGGCATCTTAGTAGCCTGGTCCCGAGGTGCGGCATGGCTGATTCCAGGGGACTTTCAGGCTATGACTTTGGTTTTGTGAAAGTTTAAGGAAGTGATTATTCATAAGGCTTTTTTATTTTTATATTTTCATTTATTTATTTATTTTTTGCTGGGAAGCAAGGTTCTTTTCACCAGAAAGCTTTTCTTCTCTCCCTGTCAGTCAAACAAAAGCACTCCGTCCCTTCTGCACTCGACTGAGGGAAAGCTTCCCTTCGAAGCCCCGCCCACTGCCTTGTCTTTCAGCAGCATGGCAAGCTCTCTTCCGTAGATGGGCTTCCATTCCTGCTGCCTGCCTCCAGGCAGCTGGATCTTCTTCAGTTCGTCTCCAGGCAGGTAACCTTTGAACACAGGCTTTGCTCCTTATGTTCACAAGGTCTTCTCTTTGGAGTTTTGCATCTTTTTTTCTCTGATTGGCCTGGTGAGCTTCCTTCTTTTCATGCGTCTCTAATTTCTGCTTTGGGGATCTTTCCTTTTGTGGCCCGTATGCCATACTTCATGGTGTTCGGCCCTGGAAAGCCACCGAACACTGTGATAGCCTGAAACCTAACGGCCTTGACTGGATCAGCTGTAGACTGTGCCCGTGACATGGGAATGCGTGGTTCAAAGCCTCGCTTTCCCTCTCCTGGTGCAGCTTGTTGCTTGTGTCCTGTCAGAACAAGGATCAGCTTCTGGGCCCAGAGATCTTGCACATGTGGTCGCCAGGCCTCTGTTCTCTTTCCACTACAGAGCCCCTCTGTGCTGAGAGGCTCCCTCTGAGCCTGTGAACAGGGCAGATAGGAAAAAGGGATGACTTTTCCTTCAAGGAAGTGAGGCCCTGGCCCACCATTCCTTCCCTACACTGACTAGCCCATGGAATTTCCCCTAAAACCAAGTTTTTAAAGTCATCTTAAATTTTTTTTTGCATGCAAAACAAAAAAACAAAAAACAAACCCAAACCGGAAGTTTAAGGAAATTAAAACAAAACCAAACACTTGTTCACTAAGCGAGTTTTGCTCTTTGGCTCGTCAACATTTTCACTGGATCCTGCAGTGACTCATTCCCATGGTCAGATAAGCTCTTTGGTCCTGGGCAAAGTCACACAGTGGAAATGCAGCGAGTTCTGGTTGTTACAGTGCAGTGTGCCGCCCTAGAAGACAAGAGTCTTCTTCCTGGCTGTGCTGAGAGACGCAGTAGTAGGATGACTTCAGTGGATGCACGGGGATTTTAGTGCAAACGTTGGTACAGGAGGGACTTGAAAAGCAACCTTTCACAGAGTATGGCAGGTTGATCCTCCTGGATTCAGTAACGGGTACCTGCCTGCTGTAGGGACCTTGCTGAACGGCGGCCACCAGGCCCTCCTTGGACATCGCTTCATGGGTGACATTGTTGGAAATGCAGTGAGCGTTGGCTTCCTGTCCCTAGTTTTGCCACAGGTCTTTGTATGCCTCTTAATATGCCGGCCCCTCTTTGTAGCTGTCTCTGCTCTGTTCCCACTTTTACCACCCTGGTCACTATTAAACTTCTGAGCTGAGTCTTCGCTTCGGGGCCTCCTCCTCTCCAGCCCCACTCACTGCTGTGCACTGTGTCCCCCATGACTGTGTCCCTCTCCCTTCTCCCAGACTTTGCTCCTCCAGGATTTCCTCCTCTTCCCAGCGTGAACCCAGGGCCCATCACATAGGTTCCTATCAGCATCTTGGACTTTACTAACTCTTCTACGGTCTCCATTTTTCACGTCAGCCTGCTTTCTCTTCCTTTTTGACTTCTAAGCATGGCGGACTCAGAACCACATCCTCAGTATTGATTGGGAACCCTTGAACTTGTATTACTCTTCTTTCTGATGCACACCCTTCATCTTTGCTGTCAGCCAATGACTGGACTTCCCATCCGCTCCCTTGAAGAGAGCTCCCGAGGCGAGGGCTTCTGCCCGCCGCTTTTCTTCTTGTTGACCGGTGCCTGTGCCCCGTCTCACTTCCTCCCTTGTACTTCTAGTTCTGTGTTCTCTGAGCCCCATATGTCCTCCAAGGCTCTGCCTTTTTCCCTCTGGGCTCTGCAGGCTCTCCTTGGCTTCCCTCTGCACAGCCTACCAAAGTTATTTCAAGATTAAGACAAGAATGTCACATCTGTGTCATAGACCACTTTCCCTAGCCATCATTTCTATTTTTAAAATAAACTGTTTGGCTGGACACGGTGACATACATCTTTAATCCCAGCACTTGGGAGGCAGAGACCCGAGGATGTCTGGGAGTTCAGCCTGCTCTACAGAGTGAGTGCCAGGCCAGCCAGAGCTACACAGTGAGACCCTGTCTCAAAACACGAACAACAAAAAGAATATTTTTCTTTGATTCTTCTTCATCTCCGGTCTTTTGTTGATTTTCGTAAGAGGCACCAGTGACCACGCAGTTGCCAAATGCAATGAATGCTTCTCATTTCCCAGCTGTCTGGAGCCCTGCAAGTCCCCCCCTTGGCCCACCCTTCCCTTCGCGTGCCACGCCTTTCACTCCGTCTTTCAGGACAGTCCTGGTTGCTGCACCATCTTTATCTCAGCCACAAAGGCTAAGCTTGTTTGAGACCTAGATGGAGGGATGTGCCTGGCTGTCGCCATTTTCTCCTCTCCAGGGTCTGGGTAAGCAAGCAGAATCATAGCTGCCCCCAATTCCTCCTCTCTGGCTTTCGACCCCTTCTTCCTGGGTTTGCTTCTCCTCTGGCGAGCTCAGGAGCGTCATGAGCACCTGCAGAGAATTCTGCATCTGTGAGGCCTCCCCTCTGTTACTCCCAGGAGCGCATAGAGAGACCAGCCAATTTGTTAAGAGCCCCATTGGTTTAGCCTAAGTGAGGGCTGGATTTTGCAGCCTGCAATCTGCCATCTGGCTCAACTAAATTCCCACACTGACGGACAGCTCACTAGTGTGAGACTTATCAGTTGGAACCTGCCTCAGTCAGCAGGGAGCCGAGGATCATGGGAAGGCAAGCTTTCATGCTTGATTCATGGCTGCAAACAGGAAGAGTCCTGGCAGGGTGGGAGTGTGTCATGATTACTTTCTGAGGGAGGGGAGACTGGGAAGTGCCGTGGTTCCTCTAGCTCAGCTAGACCCCTCCCGTAGGACTTTCTCGTCTGCGTTGATCATCCTCCCCCCATCTGCTTACTTCAGATGCTACCGGAAAGGGGCTTCCGATGGTAGCTGCTTTCTTGGAGATACTGTAGAAGGACATCTGACTTGAGAGTCTGAGAACCTCAATTTGGGCATTGTAAATGAGGGGCTGTGTGACCTGGGGTACAGTTCCCTCATCTATAAAGTTAGGGATTGCTCAGATTCTGCAGCTCGAAAGTTGACAACTATGGAGCCCAGGCCACAGAGGCGCTCTGGTATGGGGAGCCAACTAGAGAAGTCCCAACCAACAGGGCGAAAAACTCTACCGGCGAACCACACTACTTTGAAGGAAGTCTTCACTGGTGGTGCTGTTTCTTGTGCCGTATGCCGACACCTCAGGCTGCACACTTCGCCAGTGTCTGGACATGTTTCTTCTGTGTCTTTCCAAGACATGGGGCTAGGGGCAGAAGGAAGGAATTTAAGGGGAGGCATAATTGATGTTAAATGGACCCACACATTCAGAATCAAATAAAACACAGCACTTTCCTTTCCCAGCAATTCTGTCCTAGAGTGGTTTTTTGTGGAAATCGTTGAACCTGCTCCATCTCCTGTTGGATCCTGGATTCCAAATCAGTTAGGGCATGAGCTAAAGAAGGCCTTCTCACTGCATGAGTGCAGCCTCCTCCTCAAAATGCAGGCAGCAAGCCCGACGTAGTTAGGGAAACACATTCATGAGAACCCACTTCTCATTGCCAGGCAAAGACACTTCAGGAAAGAACACCTGTAATTCCAGCACCAGAGAAGCTGAGGCAGGAGGATTGCCCTTGTAGGTTGGGTTGGGCTACGCAGTGAGACCTTGTCTCAAAATAAACACTAAACACCTCCTCCAAAACCAAGCAATTCTCCAAGCTGAATAAATATGTAAACAGGAACAAGATGAAGCTTCTTGACACAGTGACGGTCCTCACTGCCGTCTCTGCTCACGCTGCACTAAGGGGCTAGCGGTTTGCTGGGGATAGTTTGTAGTGAATGTCAAGGTTCCTATTCAGTGGGCTGAACTCTCAACCTTTATGCTAGTTAATTTTTGTCAACTCGACACAAACTAGAGTCACTTGGGAAGAAGAACCTGAATTGCGGAATTTTCTACAACAGGTTGTCCTATGGACATGATTAAGGATTGAACTGGGAGGGGCCTAACCTATTGTGGGCAAGTGGTCCTGGGTTCTATGAGAAGGCAAGCTGAGCAAGCAGGTGGAACAAGCCAGCGTTCCTCCATGATTTCTACCTTGATGTGGGAGTGTCATATACCAATCTGTTAATTTCATTGGCTGAGCAATAAAAGAAACTGCTTGGCTGGCCCTGATAGGTTAAAAGATAGATGGGAGGAGGAAACAGAATAGAATTCTGGGCGGAAGAGGAAGTGAGGTCAGACTCTGCTCTGCTCCTGGAGAGACTCTGCTCTCCGGAACACAGACGCCATGCTCAGCTCTCCCGGGTAGACGCGATAGCTCTGCTCTCTGAGGCACACGCGATGAAGATGGATGTAGGCTAGAATCTTCCCGGTAAGCGCACCTTGGGGTGCTTACACACATTATTAGAAATGGGCTAGTCCAGGTGCGAGAATTAGCCTGTAAGGGCTAGAGTTCATGGGCCAAGCAGTTCTTTAAATGAATACAGTTTGTGTGTTGTTATTTCGGGC